CCCTTTCTACCATCCCTCTGCTCCCTCTTCCAGCTTCAGGACACTTTTCAGGTCCCCCATTTCTGCCCTCTTCCTCCCTGCATACCCATTTCCCTCTGGGTCTTCTGGTTTGCTATTGTCCTGGGAATGTCCTTTTTTTGAGGGGGGGTGAGGTGGAGAGGCAGGGTTGTTACAGGGCCACCTATCTGCTGGGATGCCAATGACCTTTTGGCTCCCCTCCTTTGGTGGCTCAGAGAGAAGAGGGGAGAGAGGTGATGCAAGTGGATTCATTGGTCCAGGAATTGACCTTTACTTTCTTTATGGGGATTTAGAAGTTTGTGAAGGCATGATTTCAGGTCTCAAGGAGGGACTTTGGGATTGGGGGACCCTCATTCTTTGGGGGCTACCTATATATTAGGAAGATTATTTGGAAACTCCATGAAGGATGAACTGAAGAGGAGAGACTAGAGGGAGAGAAATTAGTTCTTAAGTTGTTAACTTGATGAGGACAACTCACATTCCAGTTCTGACTCAGAAACTTAATCCATTTGTGACCACAGGCAATTATTTAAACTTCCTGAGCCTCAGTTTCCTCATCTGTAAAGTGGAAATAATAAGTAATACTAGTTATTTCACCAGGTTGTTTGGAAAATATTTTGCAATAACTCTGTTAAATTAAGGAAGTTTCTGTTTTACAGAGGAGGAAACTAAAGTTTGGAGAAAGGAAGTGACTTGGGCAAAGTCATCTAGCTATTAAGTATCAGACTTGGGATTTGAAACATTTTTTTAAGGCAATTGGGGTTAAGTGACTTGTCCAGGGTCACACAGCTAGTAAGTGTCAAGTGTTTGGTCTGAGGCCGGATTTGAACTCAGGTCCTCCTAACTTCAGGGCTGGCGCTCTATCCACTGCGCCACCTAGCTGCCCCCAGACTTGGGATTTGAATCCAAGTCTTATGCTTCTAGGGTCAGTGCTTTCTCCCCTACTAAAGTGCAAGTGGGAAGTCTAGGGTGGGGGGAGTGAAGGTAGAGAGGAAATGCTCAATGGGGGACATTTTGCAAGCAGAGAACAGATAATGACAAACAACGGTAAAACCATGCACAGAACCAGCACACTTTTCGTAGCATCCCCCCACCCCTTTGCTGCCCCTACCCTCTGTACTAATCATTTGGCCCTTTCACACAGCTACTGAAATTATAGTTCTCAGTGTCCTGATCCTATGCCATTTCACCTCAACATATTGTTATTCAGCACCTACTAAGATCTTCGATTTAACTGGGCAGAAAGTAAGCTCTCCATAAGCATTTGTTGAATGAATATTGTTGAGTGAATATACCACATGCATCTACATCCAGACACATACACCTGCACATAAATTATTTCCATAAACACAGACTAATATGCACATAAAGACGTAGGCACCCAGAGAAATAAACATACAGACATAGGCATGCAGAGACACTCAGAGATATCACTTTTACTTCTCAATTTCTCTCTCCCTTTTCCTCACCCAGAGAGCCATCCCATATAATAAGGAATAAAAAAGAGAGAAGGGGGAAAAAGCAGTTCAGAAAAACTAACCAACATATAAATCAAGTCAGACATTACATGCTATGTTCTACATTCAGAATCCTTTGCAAAGAAGAGGAGGAGAAGCATTCCCATATCTTCTTTGAGGCCAAGCATGGCCACCATGATCACACAGCATTAAATTTTTTTTATTTTGGTGTTCTCTCAATTTACATTGTTATAAGTCATTGTGTATGTTGGGTTTTTTTGGTTCTGTTTACTTCAGTTTGCATCAGTGAATATGTCTTCTCTTGTTTTTCTGAATTCTTTAAATTAATAAATTTATGTGAAGTTAAATGTTCCATTAGGTTTCTCACCACAATTTATTTTTATTTTCAGTTCCAAATTGTCTTCTTCTTTCAATCTCTTCCTCCAGCCATTGAGAAAGGGAGAAATATAATGCCTATTATACATACAAAAATCATGCAAAACGTATTTCCAAGTTAGCCATGTTATGAGGAGGAAAAAAGCTAGAAAAATAAAGGGAAAATATGCTTTAATCTGCATGCTCCCACAAGTTGTTTAGGCATTCCACAGTTTATGGGCATCTATTTTATTTCCAGTTCCTTGATACTATGAAAAGTGTTGCTATAAAATTTTTGGTATATATGGGACTTTTCTTTTTGCCTTTGACCTCTTTAGAATATATGCTTAGCAACTGGATCTCTGGGTCTAAGAATATGGACATTGTAGTCACTCTTTCAGCATGATTACGAATTACTTTCCAGAATGGTTGGACTATTTCACAGCCCCTCTAAGTCCTGTCTTCTTACAACACCTCCAATGTTGACTGTCCTGTATTTTGTCATCTTTGGTACAGATATTATTATTCTTATTTTACAGATGAAGAAATTGAGACTCGACTTGCTTTGGAGTCATTCCAGAATCAATTGTTTATGTACAGTCAGACCATTGATCAGTTAGGCCAAAAGTCAAACTTTGTACCAAATTAGAAGAAAGGATAAAGATGAGAAAGCACATTTCATGCAAATCAATCTATTTAAGTGAGCTACTGACTTTGAAAAATATTAAGCCAACAAAAGTAAATACATTGGTTGTGATTATTATTTATTATAGAAGTTTAATGGAGGCAAAGTTATCATCACACTGAGGAGAACAAAAGAGTTCCCAAATGAGCCAACCTAGCAAATGCTTGATATCTTTACCAAGAGAATAGATCTGGAAGCTAGGGGAAACATCTGTTTAGAGTATAAGGTCACATGTATGACCATATAGAGGATGATAACAAAAGATGATGAGCAATATCACCTCACAGAACATTGAAAGATATTGAAGAAGAAAATTAACCTGCAGAAAGCTTAATGAGAGATTCAGCCAGGTCAAATCACCTTAAATGCATTTATAGATGTAACTGGAAAGAAGACAACAGATAGATATAAAATGGCACAGATCTGCCAGTGTTTCTCTAGTGATCTGTGTTCATGGCCAGTAATAGAAGAACCACTACATTTGGACTGTATTCAATTCAATTCAATTCAACAAATATTTTTATGCAAGGCACTATGTTAGAGTACAAAGATAAAAACACCAGAGAGTTCTTGCCCTTAAGGATCTTTTATTCTATTGGAGCAAGTGATATATAAATAGATAAGTAAATATAAGATAATTTGAGCAAGGAGAGACCATTAACACCTAGCAAAATCAGGAAAGTTTTCATATAGGAAGTGGCACCTGAGTTAAGCCTAGGAGGATGTAAAAGATTCTAAGAGGTCACATAAAAAGGAGATGAACCTTAAAACTATCTGTGCTACATACAGATGTCTAAAAGATGAAGCCGGTAAGAGTGGCTGGACTTTTCCAAAAACACCCAGAAGAAATCTGAGCTACACTCTAGAAGAAAGTGTGCTGACTCTGGAGCCAGAGAACTTGGGTTCAGACATCACTTCTGATCTTTACTACCTTTATGACCATGCACAAGTCATTTATCCTCCATGGATTTCATTTTCCTTATCTGTAAAATGACTAGATTGTCTCTGAGCTTCTAGCTCTTAATTTATAATAAGGTGCTCAATAACTGATTTTCAAGATATATGAAATGGTAAAAAAACAAAAGAATAGACAAAATTATGGCTGTTAATATTACTCCTAAAAGGTGACAAGACTTCAGCAACTACCAACTTGCATGCTGACTTTCTCATATCTACAATATCCTTGTGAGAATAGTATTTACACATGTGGAGACTGTTCTTATTGAATATATGAGGAGACATAAGGCTTTGGCAAATTATTTTGTTACCCAGACCACATCCTCATAGTTACACAATTCAGGATAAGCCAACAAACATTGATTAAGTGCCTACTTTGTGCCAGGCACCCTGCTAAATGCTAGGTATACAAAGAAAAGCAAAAGACAGTCCCTGCCCTCAAGGAGCTCAAAGTCTAATGGGGGAGCCAACATGCAAACAACTATGTGTAAACAAATTAAACACAGGATAAATTGGAGATTATTTCAGAGGGAAGGCACTAAGCCAGGAAGCAGAGATGAGGAAGGAGAGAGCTCCAGGCATTGGGTACAGCTGGGGAAAGTTCATGGAGTCAGGAGATGGAGTGTTATGTTCAAGGAATGGCAAGGAAGCCAGTGTTGCTGCATGTAGTGGGATTAAAAAGTATAGTGAATACAAGATCCTACTGTTTGTTGTTTGCTGATTTTTTAAAAAATTTGCCTTTGCAGAGCAAAATGCAACCTTAAAGGCCTCTTCCAACATGGCTTCTCCCACGCACATGGTGAAATCATACAAGATTCCCTGATAGATGTAACCACAGAGATAACTTTGCTCAACCATTCCCTGATTATTAATACCAAACAAGGCATATGCTTGCCAAAGGCATTTGACAGTGTCATGACGAATGGCTTTCTCAGAGTCCAAATTCCTCTGTATGATAAGGTCCTACAGTCACTCCTATTTTCAGATGACCTCCTCAATAAGATCCTCAGTTATTCAGTGGAGATTATCTTAGTGATCCATACAGGGGAAATAAAAACAGCATTTAGCGAGTACATATAGCCCAGATTATGATATGTAATTGAAGGGATAATCCAATGAGTTGTATCTTCAGGTTTTTTTTGAACAGGTCCTGGCGGAGAAATGAAGCCAGTAATGAGTGAGAACCAGAATTAAACGGGAAGAATTGAATAAGCTGGCTTGCTTTTGGGAAACTGGACAATACTTTCTTATCAATTAGCAGATCAATCAATAAACATTTATTAAGTACCTACTGCATGCCAGACGCTGAACTAAACACTGGGAATACAAAAAGAAACAAAAGACATTCTCTGCCCTCAAGACATAACGATCTAATTCTATGACCTCAATGTGTTCTCTAACTACCAGGCCCCCAAACCTGTCTTTTTAAAAACATCCATGTGTTTCTAGTAGTGTCATATGACTAAGAATAATGGAACACCACAACATTCTAAGAACCCAAACTGTGGCCATCTCAAAGAGCAATGGAAAGACAGATGGTAGGTATAAGGAGGCTGTTACATATGACCAATGATGACCTGCCCACAAGAACTGCCAGAAATGATGTCATCAAGAAAATGTAGGATTACAAAATAAGGTGAAATAGTCACGTATCAAGAGCAAGGGATGGATAGCTTGAGTGATGTTCTGGCAAATCCTATCATATTGGGTAGATCCTATGCTCTATAGCATTTAGGGGAGACTGTGGACAAAAAATTGTGCTGGAGGTAGTGCTTTTTTACTGCTGGAGAGAGAACCTTCATCAGTAAGATCACTAACTCTCATGGTATGACACAGACTTGGAGACATGGCCATCCAACAACAGCCCTCTCCAAGGTACGCATACATATGCATACATACAGTGGTACACACAGAAAGACACACAGGTGTGTCCGGACACACTCCAGAGACACATTCAAAGACATAAATATATACACAGAAATATATACAATATGCATGCTCAGAGGTTCAGCTGCATACATGCAGAGATGGAGAAATATGTGCACAAAGACATGCTCAGAGACACCTGCACTGACACAAACACGTACACATACAGAAGTATTCACATGGACAAAGATATAGACACACATGCACAGAGACAGCCGAGTTATGCCCCTTGCTCAGGCCTGGACAGAGCCTGATCTCTATCTCTGTCTGTCAGCACTGCCACACAGATGAGTCTGGTTCTTGGAACACAGCCTGGGGGTGCCCCCTCCCCTTCCCCACACTCTCAACAAAGGAACATGGCTAGAAGCTTGTAATAGTGTGTTAGAGATGGGGGGAGGGTATAAAGAGGGATTTTTCCTTCCAGAGTTGAGAGAGAGAGAGAGAGAGAGAGAGAGAGAGAGAGAGAGAGAGAGAGAGAGAGAGATGAGGTATGAGACATGAGAGAAAGTGAAAGAGAGAGAGAAGACAGACATAGAGAGAAGAGAGACACAGACACACACAGAAACAGAGAGACAGAAAGAGAAACACACATGCAGAGAGAGATATACAGAGATCAGAATGTTAGAACATAAAGGATGAAGTATAGTACTAGAGAGGAAAAAATAGCTCATAAAATATTGGGTGGAATCTAGAATATTAGAACTGGAAGAGACTTTGGAACAAAATCAAATGTTAGAATAAAGAAAACTATCGAATCCAAAAGCCCTGCCTGAAGCATAAAGCCTCCCTACAAAATCCCTGTCAAATGATCATTCATTCTCTGCTTGAATATTGCTTGGACAACCTGTATACCTCTTTCTGTCCCAAGATGGGCAATCCTCACCTCTGTCCTTCTTCTCTGTTTACGCACTCTCTATTTCCCCCAGAACCTGGCCAGGTAAGAGAAGGTAATGTGAGACCAGTCAGGGCAGGGTAGTATCTCTGCTTGGGCAGGATATGGCCCTGGAGGAAGACAGAGGGAAACAATGGGGAGAGGGAGTTGAAAGAGGGAGGAGGTGATTGGTAAGTAGTAACTCAGACCTTGTACTTCTTTCTATCCTTGTCACCTTGTAGTAGTGGTCTGTTTCCAGACTGCAGGGGTCACTTCCCACCAGAAAATAATGTCTCTCACCCCAACAACCCTCTAGCAATAGAGCTAATGGGCACAGATACCCTGAGAACTACTAATAGTGTCGTGTCATGAGGTCTGGGAGTTATAAACTCTAGGTTCTAACACTGTGGCTCTGCTACTAATATCCCATGTAGCCTTGAACAAGTGATTCCCACATTCTTAGCCTTAGTTTCCTCATTTGTAAAACTTAGGAGATTCTAAGTATCTAGCTCCAACAAGTCTCTGTTTTATTTGTTTGTTCATTTTTTTTAAATGAGTGTGTTAAAGAAGAGCCAGGTACACAGAAAGATATTGGATTTGGAGTCAGGACTCCTATGTTCCAATCCTAACTGCCATTTACTGCCTGTGTGAACCTGGGCAAGTCTCTTCACCCCATGGTCCTCAGTTTCCTCATCTGTAAAATGAAGGAGCTGGATGAAATGGTCTCTGATTCCTTCTAGCTCTAAACCCTGCATCTTATATTCTAACATTCTTCTGCTTGCTCTTTGTTCTGAGGTCCCTCCCAGCTCTACGACCAGGAGTGGGGAACCTTTGGCCTTGAGGTCACATGTGGCCCTCTAGTCCTCAAGTTCGGTTCTTTGATTGAATTCAAACTTCACAGAACAAATCCCCTTAATAAAAGAATTTGTTCTATAAAACTTGGGACTCAGTCAAAAGGCCGCACCCAAGGACCTAGAAGCTCACGGGTGGCCTTGAGGCTGAAGGTTCCCCACCCGTAGGACTAGGACATTGTTTACCAGTTAGCAAGCAAGGACCTGACATCTCTCACCTTACCAAAATAAAACGGATTTTTATCTTTGCCATTTCTCTAGTGTTTCAAGTTTTACAAAATACTTTTCCTCATCATGTATTTGTGAGGTAGGTAGTATAAATAAGCTGAAACTTAGAGAAAACAAAATTCTTGCTATATTACTGATTAAAATGGTAGCTCCCATTTCTACAGTGCCATACAATGTTTTAAAAATGAGGTTTTCCTATCTTTCCCAGGCTGGAAAAGCAGCAGTTACTTACGGGCCGGACCATATATAGCCTTGATCATCACAGAAGCTTTTAATTTGTTTGTTTTTCTGACCTGGCCCAGTTCACCCTGCCATAGACAGGTTGGTAGCCTTCTACTCCCAGAAACTTGAAGCTTTAGTGTTGGACTTACTTTGGGATATTCAGCTGACTTTAGCCCACTGCAGCTCAGAACTCCCTGGCTCAAGTGATCCACCAACCTCAGCCTCTCTAGTGATGGAAATTATAGACATTGACCACCACACTCATCAGTATTATACAATTTGCAAAGTACTTTCTTCACTACAGCCCTGTGAGATAGACAGGATAAGGATCAATAATTTATAATTCATGTATGTCACTGTAATATTTATTAAATACTGACTGTATATAGAGAGCAATATGTTAGGGACTCAGAAAGATACACAGTTTTGATAAGGCATAGTCTCTGATCTCATGAAACTTTCAGTCTAGTAGGGGATAAAACACCAACATAGATAATGATAATTCTCAATATGACAATGCTAAGTTCATGAGAGAATTTTATAAAAGATGCTACATGAGTTTGATGGTGGGAGTTTATTATCAACCAAGGAGCTGAGGGAAATATTCATGGAAGCCTTTCCATGGCATTTGAGGTGGCAAAATGGTAGGTTTAATGGATGTAGGTTCAACAGGCAAAAATGGTAAGGAATAAGGAAAGGCATGTGTAATGGTACAGAGAGGATAATGCATGCCATGGTCTGATTAGAGGAAAGATATAAAACTAATGTGATTGGAACATGGGGTACACAAAGGGACACAATGTGAAATAAAAATGGCAAGGTACTGCAGTGCCAGTCTGTGGAGAGCATTGAATTCCAGACCAAGGAATTTGAACTTTACTCCATAGGCAACAGGGATACCACAAGAGTGACACGATCAGAACTATGTATCAGAAAGATCATTCTAGAAGAAGTATGAAGGATGAATTGGAAGGAGAGAGAGGGTGAAGTTAGGTGGTTATAGAGACAGCCAACTTTATACTTCTGTGGGAATAGGTAGTGAGAGAAAGAGCAGAACAGAAAAGAACTTGAGCTCGCTAGAGAGAAGGAAATTGTAAAGGTGATTTGCAGGTCTTTAGACTTGTGAAAAAGGCCAGGGATTGAATTTGGGGAGTAGAAATTTGGGACAAATTGAGGAAAATTTGAAGTTGAGATGTCTATAGGTTCCTTTTTTTTTGAGACTCAGTCTCTCTTATTATCTCTCTTACAGTCTCTCCTACTCTTGAAAGAAATAAGTAGCCTCATAAACCTAATTCCAAGATGATTGTTACAGAAGATTTAACATGTTCCATTTTTCTTACTTGGGTTAGGTCAACCCTCCTTAGGCAGCCTGGTGGACCTCCACTACTGGGAGCTCACATTGACACTGGACTTGGAGAAGACAGTTGATGAACTTCAGCCCCACTGCATCTTAGAACTCCTGAGCTAGAGTTATCCTTCACTCTCAGCCTACCCCAGTAGTAGAGATCACAGGCATGAAACAACATGACCAGCTTAAGTTTAGATTCTACCTCCAGCTTCTGCAACAGAAGGATATTTAAGTGGTAAGGACCTAAAGAGAAGGACTTAAGGAGGAGAAGAGAGAAAGGCAAGGTAAATAAGAAAATGCAAGTTGAAAAATGGTGGAGCAAATAGGTCAGTGATAAAAAGAAAAGAAATAAGGTATGATTATAAAGTTATTGAGATAAAAGGAAAAAATGCCTTTTTCATACAGGTTTACTAAACTAGTAGATGAAGAAACTGCTGTGGATATAGTTTACCTAGGTTTTAACAATTTTTTTTGGTAAAGTTTCTCATACTGTCTTTGTGGAGAAATGGAGAGATATGGATTGGATGATATAATCAGATGAATTCAGGACCAGTTAGCTGGCTGTGCTCAAAAAGAAGAGAAGACTTGGGGGAAACATGTTAGTTGTCTCCAAGTATTTGAAGAGCTGTTCTATAGAGGAGCTCTTTGGCCCCAGTGGGTTAGCTGTCAGGAATCATTTCCTAACAGTTGGAGCTGTCCAAAAGTGAAATGGGCAATCTAGAGGGTTGGTGGGTTCTCCTTCCTTGGAGGTCATTGACCCAAGGTATACCTCTTTACAGTTTATGAGAGACAATGAAATGTTCCTTAAAATAAAATGGAAATGAGCCTTAATAGGGAAAAAAGCATTCAAAATAGTAGAGGGGAAATTTCACCCTTTATCAGGAAATTAGATAGTGCAATAATGTCACACACACACACACACACAAAAAGAGAAAGAAAAGAACCACAGTGTTCTAGTAGCTAAAAACAAAAACAGGGGCAGCTAGGTGTCACAGTAGATCGAGCTCAGGCCTTGGAGTCAGAAGCACCTGAGTTCAAATCCAGCCTCAGACACTTGACACTTAGTAGCTATGTGACCATGGGCAAATTACTTAACCCTGATTGCTTTACCTAAAAGCAAAATAAATAAATAAATAAATAAAATGAAAACAAAAGCAAATTTAGAGCTCTTCCTGAAGCAGAATGAGATGGATGCTCTGAGGAGGAAGCACTTATTTGTCCTGAGGGGACTAATAGAGTCACAGAAACTATCATGTGAGAAATTATCTAGTAAGAATCAGAAGAAGAGAAGAGTAGTGGTGGTTTGTGATTCCATAAGAGATAACTAAGCAGTTATCTGTCAACCTGCTAACAACAATAGAGGTCTATTGTCTTCCTAGGGCATACATTCAAGACATAACAGAGACCTCCCAAGACTTGTCGAAACAGATGACTACCCACTTTTGGTGATTCATGTGGGCACAAATGATATTCAAAAGTGTTGCCAAAGATTATGAAGTCTTAGGCAAGAAACTGTAGACCACAGGGACACAGGTTTTATTTTCCTCAGTGCTATCCATTGATAACGAAGGATGCAAAAGGAAAAAAATGATTTAAGAAGTAAATAGCTGGCTAAGAAGGCAGTGTTTGAGAACTTCATTAGGATTTCTAGACCTTAATTTAAAATATAGAGATGACAGACTCCTGGCCAGGATGAAGTAAACCTTACAAAGGCTAACGAGGATGTATTTATTTGCTTTCCTGAAAATCCAATCAAAATTACTTATGTACATCCACCAAGCTAAATAATATAATGAGTAGCTACCATGAAAGAAGAATAGCTGCAGAGATATTCACAAATTTACAGGGGACCATAATAAAACCAATGGATTCAAATATCTACACACAAGTGACCACAGCTTAAGCAATAAACTAGCATGACTAGCCTTCCTAATGTAAAAAAGCAAATTTGATCTCACTGGTGTCATTGAGACTTGGCAGGAGAGAAACGATGACTAGAATTGTATTCTGGATGAGTGTATGGTATACTCTATTCAGAAAAAAAATAGGATAAGTGAGAGAAGGGTATATATATATATATATGTATATATATATATATGTATATATATATATATATATATAGTATGTTCATGTAAGGAAATTCAGGAATAGTATGGTGGAAAGCATTTGGATGAAATTAGCGGGTGGAGAAATAGAAGTCTTCAAGTTATAGTGCAGCTTACCTGAATAGAAAGAAGAAAGACTTGAGGACTTTGGAAATAGATCAGAAGCTAGGCACAGAAGTGTGATATAGCAGCAATGGGACACTTAGTTATCCAGACAGCTTCGGGAATGCTGTCTTGGCAAAAAGCAAAGCAGCTAACAATTTATTGACTTGCCTTAATATTTCATTCTGAAAAAGGTGGAAGAACTAATAAGGGGAAATTCCATTCTGGATCTGATTTTTACTAACAGGGAGATTTCGGGGTGGAAATGGTGGGAACCTTAGGGAGAAATAATACTTCCTATAATTTATGATAGAGAAGAAGAAAGCTGGATATAGTCTGTCGGCACCTTAGATTTTTTGGGGGAGAAAAACAGGTCTCAGAGGGACTAGGAAAAGAATAAGTAGGCTTCTATTTACTAAAAATCTTCAAGGGAAGTTGCCCGTGAAGGATGAAGGGAAAGTCAAGAATGAAATTCTGAAGACATAGACAGAAACAATTTCAAGGAAAAGGGAAAACAGGAGTTGAAGAGACTTATGTGGAAATACCAGGAACTCATCAACCAAGTTAGATTTTTAAAGATAACAGGTTGAATATGTGATCAAGACACATTCTGGCAAAAATAGTAAAGACCAGAATGAGTTGATGTTGGAGAATAAAAATGCTAAAATAAAACAAAACAAAAAACCCTCAAACATACCATGATGCTAAAAACAAGAAAAAGTTCCCCCCCCCAAATTATATTGAGGAAACAAGGTTCAAAGAAGGGTTAAGACTACTACTTGGGGTCAATGGATAGTGATAATTGACCACAGTGAGTAGGCCAACCTACTCATTTTTAAATTTTACTTCTGTACTAATTTTAAAAAACAGGAGAGAATAGAGTCTGCAAATCATGGGCCAGTAAGTTGGACTTTGATTTCTGGGAAAATTCTAGAATGGATCATTTTTTTAAAAAAATGGTTAGGGAACCTTGAAGGGAGAAAAACAAAAGAAAACTGTGATTACAAAGAGCCTATATGGCTTCAATGAGAACTGGTTATGCCAGACTAACTTTATTTCCTTTCTTGGTAGGGTCCTAAACTATAAATCAGGGGAATATTACAGACATAGTATACTTAGATATAAATGTCATCGAAACATTTGATTATGTATTTCCTACTATTTTTGTAGAAAGGATGGAGAAGCATGGGCTAGATAATACAATTTGATCTTTGGAGGATGGTGTGCAACAGGTACATAGGAACAGCGTAAAGAAGATTAAGAGGAGAGAACATATTAACAACTGGGGAATCAAGGAAAACTTCATAGGTGAAGGGCAACCTGCGCTGTCTTAAAAGAGGAGGATTCTGACATTTGGAGGGAATATGTTTTAGGACAGCTTGTTCAAACGCAGTGATATTTATACCAGATAATAATCTGGTAGATGTATAGTGGATACACCAGAGTCAGTGAATTGACCAGACCTCAGCGGATGTAGCGTTCCCAATAGGTATAGTCCTTCTCATTAATTCTATCAGCCCCAACATGTTAGGCATCAGTGGAGAGATCTCATTTATTTATTCAGCTATTTTTTTTTCATTTTCCATTTATTTTAATTTATCTCTTTCATTTATATTTTGCTTAAGGTAGGTTTTAGACTTGGAATAACTAGCCTGATCATTAATTAGCTGTGTAACCATGGGCAAATCATTTCGTCCTCTCTCTGGGTCTTGTTTTCCTCATGTGTAAAATGTAATATCCAAATTCAGCAACTTTTTTTCAATCTTCATTGTCTTTTACCTCACACAGTTGACTACTCCCTCCTAGACAGTCCCTTCTGCCCTGGCTTCTTGGTTCTCCTCCTACTTCTCTAAATGTTCCTTCTTTGTCTTCTTGCTGGTTCCTTATTTTCTCCCCAAGTTCCTAATGCAGAAGTCACTCAAAGCTCTGCCTTTGACCCTCTTTCACTCTCTCTCAACATTCTTTCCATTGGTAATTTCATTCACTCTTTGGACTTTAATTACTGACTCCATGAAGATGATTTCCAAATCTTTTATTACATCTCCAACTGCTTACAGGATATATTTACCTGGACATCTCTCAGCAATTTAAGCTCAACATGTCCAAAACTAAGCTTTATATTTCTCCCTATCCATGCTCTCTGATAAGACTTTATTATTTCAGACAATCATTCTTCCATTCATTCAGCTCATATGACTTCAGTCTTGATGTTGTCTTTGAATCATCCCTCTCTTGTACTTTTTAATCTCCAAGTCAGTTACCAAATTCTGCTGTAGTAAGAGTCTTGACCAGTCAGTGTGGGGGTGGGGGTGGTGGGAAGGGGGAGGCCATAATCAGGTGCAGGGATGCCCAACTTGGTATCAATCTTTAGAACATGTGCTGCCTCCTTCCCATCCAAGTATAAGCCTTGTTGAGCCTCTTCTAGCCACGAGTGACTGAGGGGCTGGTACTCCAAGGTGACAAATAGTCTTTTGGTCAGCTGAGCAGCCTTGAGAACCAATGACTCATGTATGAGCTGCTGAGCTGGAACTGAGTGTGCACACAGAAAGGAGTGATCTCCTCCTCTTTTGGCTCTTTTGCTCTTTTCCTTCCTGGCATTAAGAGTTGTGAGCTGCAATCCTTCACCTGGCCACCATGAGTCCATGGTGCCTTGGTTTCTTTTGTATTTGTTTTTTTCTTGATTTTAGGTAACTAAGTATCCAGAGAGTGACTGGACCAGGTTACAATCTTGTGAACTTTGAAATATCTGAAGAGGCGTCCGAGATCCCATTGGTCACTAGCATCAGTAGTAGTATTCATTGGAGGTAGCAGCAGTAGTTGATGACAGAAGATGGGCCTGAACCCAAGGATGGCTTCAGCATCTGGGAGGGTAATCCTTGAAGCAAGAAGGGCCATCCATAGGCTCTGGAAAGGAACTGATCCTGAGAGACCAACAGGGATACTCCTAAGGAGAATTTCACGGGGATGACATGAAGAAAAGGACTTCAGGGGTACTCCTTGGCCCTGTGTGCTATTCATTCATT